GTGTGTCTGTGATATAGGAACCTATTTCCATGCTTCTAGTACCAAATTTTCTATTAAAAAAATCTAATGCTCAAGAACCCCTTTTTATAGTTAACTGGGGCATACCTGTAGTTACATTAATTATATCTATTTCCTCTCCATCATCCATCATTTGCCATAATCTTGGAGAAGAGTAGTTGTACTCCCTCAGGTGGCCAAAGGAGAAAATAGCCACAGTATACAACAAGAAGTGATGCTTACAACAGTGAGTAAACAGATGATCTTCCTTTTCCTTCAAATGTTTTGAGAATCTCTCAGGCGGCATCCGCACTGCAGAAATAATCCAGTTTGATACCACTTTTAACTGGCAGGGGTTGATGCTATGGAATTCTGGGAATTGTCATTTTGTGAGACATTTAGCCTTCTCTGTCAGAGAGCTCTGGGGCCACAACAAACCACAGTTTGCAGAATTCCATAACATTGAGCCATGATAGTTAAAGTGGTGTGACCCTGGATTATTTCTGCAGTGCAGATGAAGCCTTCATTGCACTTGAAATGCATCCATACTGCAGAAATAATCCAGTTTGACACCCCTTTAACTGCCATGGTTCAATGCTATGGAATTATGGGAAATGTAGTTTGTTGGGGCACCAACAATAGAGCCCTGTTCTCATGCCCCAACAAACTACAATTCACAGATTTCCATAGCACTGAGCCATGGCAGTTAAAGGGGTGTCAAACCGGATTATTACTGCAGTGTGGATGCAGGCTTAGGCATCCATTTCCCAACTAGAAGGCATCTCCTCACCCACCCTTTGGGAGAAAAAATAATAATAATAATAATCTCACACCACATTGGGTGCCAAAGAAAGGCAGGAGAACCTGCCAACTCCTGTCTTTCTGGAGGTGTATGGATTTCTCATTTTGGAAAAGTGTTTTGAGAGAACTACTCCAGGGGATAAAATATTTAACAAGAGAGGTCTGAAGAAAAGTGAGGCTTTTAGCAAGAAATAAATTCTCCTGTTCCCTCAAAATTCTGAAGTGGGGAGAGGAAGAATAATTACAAAGAAAAAGAGAGAGAAAGCCTTAAGACCAGGTTTCCTTTGTGCCTCAAATACAGGGTTCTTTAGGGAAGGTGGGCCCAGATGTCCACATGATATTGTCTTCCATTTTGGAAGACACTGTCTTCTGGTCTTCCCATGTTTTTGCTCCTTTTTGTTATCACACATATACACAAACCTTTTAAAGGAAAAGAAAACAGCAGCAAAATGGCTTTTGTTGTTTGGTTGGTTTGAGCAATGGACTATGATTATGGAAACCAAGGTTTGAATCCCGGCTCAGCCATTGAAACCCACTGGATGACCTTGAGTGAGTTACACTTTCTCAGCCTCAGAGGATGGGAAGGGCAAACCCCCTCTGAAGAAACTTGCCAAGAAAACCCTATGATAGGGTTGCCATAAGTCAAAAATGAGGCATACAGTAACAACCACCACTAGGAGCTCTCATGTCTGGAAGCAGCTTAAATGGATAGACTTCTTGTGGGGAAAAATTCAGAAATAAAATGTGGTGGGACCATTAAAAAGGGAACTTTAGGGCAGATATGATGAGGCAGCATGGTATAGTGGTTAGAATGTTGGACCATGGCTCTGGAAACCAGGGTTCGATTTCCAGCTCAGCCATGAAACCCACTGGGTGACTTTGGGCAAGTCACACTCTCTCAACCTCAGATGAAGGCCATGACAAACCCCCTCTGAAGAAACTTGCCAAGAAAACCCTACTATAGGGTCATCTTAGGGTTGCCATAAGTCAGCAACAACTTGAAGGCACACAACAACAACAACAATTTAAATTTTAAACCGGATTAGGTAAATCGGTTTTAAAATCAATAGGATAAGCTTTACAGTTAGGCTGTGTGTATGACATTGTAATTTAAAAGTATAATTTTAATTGGGCTAGTTGCTTATGTCACAACTATTACCATTAGATTCAGTGATGTAGGGGCATTACGATTTGTGGGTAACATGAGTACAAACATCAAAAATCCATCAAACAATGGATTTTAAGCCAACCAAAGTGCACAATTATATGTTGTAAGCTTTCGGAGTTCCACTGGCTTCTTCATCAGGCAAAGTGTTACAAACCAAACAGGAGGAAAAAATTGAAGAAGTTAATCTTAGGTCTGGATTTTGCTGTTTTTCTTAATTCAGATGTTATGGAGGGGGTATCTCTTGCGGGCTGGTACCTCCTCCTTCTGGCCATGTGGGAACTGGGAGATCCTCAAAGTCCAGGAAATTTTAATTTTACTTGTTGTTTATGTCACAACTATTATCATTACCTCCAGTGATATCTGGGAATTATGATTTATGAGTAACATTAGTACCAAAAAAACCAAAAACAAACATTACTAAGGATTCTGTATGGTGTGGTATGTGAGAAGGTCAATGGAGGAGGGGTGACACCATAAGTTACCACACTGAGTGATACTAACCTAGGGACACACTGGTTACCCCTGGATATTTTCTTAGTACAAAAAAACTAATTCCCAAGGATTCTGTATGGTGTGATAATGAATGAATGAATTGAATTAGTTTACAGACCATTTCAAATTGGTGTGGTAATGAGGGGAGGTCAATGGAAGGGGGGGTGACACCATGAGGTACCAAACTGGGTGACACCAAACTCCAGTAACACCCCCCCCCCAGCTACTCTTGGATGTTTTCTTAGTACAAAAAACCCTAATTCCTAAGGATTCTGTATGGTGTGATAATGAATGAATTAATGAATGAATTTAATTAGTCCACAGACCATTTCAAATTAGTGTGGTAATGGGAGGGAGGTCAACGGAAGGGGAGGTGACACCATGAGTTCCCACATCATGTGACACCAACCCTAGTGAGACCACTAGATGTTTCCTTACTACAAAAAACATTGAAAAGGATTATGTATGGCGTGATAATGAATGAATGAGTGGAATTAGTCTACAGACCATTTCAAATTGGTGTGGTAATGGGGGGAGGTCAATGGAAGAGGGGTGACACCATGAGGTACCAAACCAGGTGGCACCAAACCTTAGTGACATCACTGGCTACCCCTGGATGTTTTCTTAGTACAAAAAGGAAACACCTAATTCCCAAGGATTTTGTATGGGGGAGGTCAACGGAAGGGGGGTGTGTGACACCATGAGGTACCAAACCAGATGACACCAACCCTAGGAACCCCACTGGCTACCCTGGATGTTTTCTTAATACGAAAAAAAAAAAACCCACTCCCAATTCCTAAGGATTCTGTTTGGTATGGTAATGAATGAATGAATGGAATTAGTCTACAGCCCATTTCAAATTGGTGTGGTAATGGGAGGAGGTCAATGGAAGAGGGGGTGACAGCATGAGGTCCCACACAGGGCGACACCAACCGTAGGGACCCCACTGGCTACATCTGGATGTTTTCTTAGTACAAAAAGACCAATTCCTAAGGTTCCTGTATAGTGTGGAAATGAATGAATGAATGAATGAATGAATAGAATTAGTCTACAGACCATTTCAAATTGGTGTGGTAATGGAGGGAGGTCAGTGGAGGAGGGGGTGACACCATGAGGTACCACACTGGGTGACACCAACCCTAGGGACACCATGGCTACTCTTGGATGCTTTCTTAGTAGAGAGAAAAAAACCCTAATTCCCAAGGATTCTGTATGGGGTGGTAATGAATGAATGAATGAATTGAATTAGTCTACAGCCCATTTCAAATTGGTGTGGTAATGGGAGGAGGTCAATGGAAGGGGGGTTGACACCATGAGTTCCCACACCATGTGACACCAGCCTTAGGGACACCACTGGCTCCTTCTGGATGTTTTCTTTGTACAAAAAAAAAAAAGTTAAAAAACCCCCAAACCTAATTCCCAAGGATACTGTATGGGGGGAAGTCAATGGAGGAGGGGTGACACCATGAGGTACCAAACTGGGTGACACCAACTCTAGGGATGCCAGTGTGGTGTGACAATGAACGTGTGAATAAATGAATGGAATTAGTCTACAGACTATGTCAAATTGGTGTGATCATGGGAGGGAGGACAATGGAAGGGGGGGTGACACCATGAGGTACCAAACTGGGTGAAACCAACCCTAGGGACACCATGGCTACTCTTGGATGTTTTCTTAGTACAAAAAACTAATTCCCAAAGATTCTGAATAGTGTGGTAATGAATGAACGAATGGAATTAGTCTACAGACCATGTCAAATTGGTGTAGTAATGGGAGGGAGGTCAATGGAAGGGGGGGTGACACCATGAGTTCCCACACCATGTGACACTAGCCCTAGGGGCACCACTGGCTCCTTCTGGATGTTTTCTTTGTACAAAAAAAGTAAAAAAAAACAAAAAAAAAAACCAACAACAAACCTAATTCCCAAGGATACTGTATGGGGGGAGGTCAATGGAGGGGTGACACCATGGGGGACCAAACTGGGTGACACCAACTCTAGGGATGCCAGTGTGGTGTGACAATGAACCTGTGGATAAATGAATGGAATTAGTCTACAGACCATGTCAAATTGGTGTGGTAATGGGAGGGAGGTCAATGGAAGGGGGGGTGACACCATGAGGTACCAAACCGGGTGACACCAA